TTTAATGAAAAGATTAATCTTAACATAAAATTTTAGGCATTACTCTGAGATAAAGGATAGGGGTTGAATTATAATTCTCCAATTTCTTAAGAATGTAACTTTGAACTGTTATCTTCTGTTCTTTTACCTGTAAAGTGTAGATAATAGGATCATCTAGCATCTAGAGTCAAATAAGAAAGTGTACAAGTCTATAATGGACAACTGAATCAAAAATAATAACATATTGAGTTTCAGGTGAATTTTCTAAGATAAAAACATACTTTTCTATGTTACTCAATATTCTCTACCCCAAGGACTCTGGAAATGCAATGTTTTGCTCTTTAGAATGCTGTTTTTGAAATAATAATAACAAATTTGATTTTTATTTACATATACAGCTTTGATTAATCATTTCGGAGTAGTAAGAGCCAAGTTACATTACTGCATAATAATATGAAGAAATACTCATTTCTAATTTTATTAGACCTTTTGAAATAATTCAGATAGCTCTCCATTGTCATCTTTGGAGATGCTGGGGATCTGGAGACACCAGCCCGTGTAAAGCAGGTATACCCACTCCAGACATAGGTAGTGTTGGTCTAAGTGTGTTTTTAACTTTTTAAAAATTATACATTTTTCTTCATTTAACAACATTCCTGGCTTTGCCTGATTTTATACTCTGCACAACTCCACAAACTGACCATCTCCTTATTAGATCAGAATTGAAAAGAATTTTGATTATTGCTTATATCCACCTAGAAAAATCCCCAAACAATATTTTTATCAATCATCTTCTCTTCTCCAAATTGTCTTGGGAGATGATGAACACATGCAAAAAATTAATCAAAAAGAGTGGTGTATTTAAAATTTTCTTCCTTTTTCTTTAGCTTTCCTGTATCTATCTATCTATCTATCTATCTGTCTGTCTGTCTGTCTGTCTGTCTGGCTATCTATCTGGCTATCTGGCTGTCTGTCTATCTATCATGTATCTAATATATTTATTTGAGTTGGGGTTTCACTCTGTTGTTCAGGCAGGAGTGCAGTGGCATGAGCAGGCTGACTGCTGCTTCAACTGCCTGGGTCCAGGTGATCTTTCTGCTTCAGATTCTTGAGTAGTTGGGACTACAGGCATGTGCCTCCATGCCCAGGTAATTTTTAAATTTTTTTGTAGAGATAAGATCTTGCTAAGTTGCCCAGCTGATCTCTAACTTTTGAGCTCAAGTAATCCTCCCACCTCGGCCTTCCAAAGTGCTGGAATTACAGGCGTGAGCCACCATGCCCAGTCACCAAACTTTAATAAGATAAAACTTCAGGATATATTTAATCATAAATAAGAAACACAATCAACGACTTCTCACTCTTTTCTGGAAATGGTGGATTACATAGAATACATTTAATTTTGACTGCCTATGCCACCAGAACATAACAAAAAAGCAGAAAGTTATAATGCAACTGATAGTAGTACAAACAGTTTGACTTGTTTTCCCTATATTGGCCAATTATATTGGTGTTTGGGGGATGTTATATTTGAGAGTTTGTTATATAAAATATTTTCATTAAATCTAACTAATCTTAAATATCTGAAAAATTGTATTGGCAGCATTCTATTCTAAGAGAAAACAGAAAAATTTCCAAGTTCATAAGTCCGAATGGAAATAAACATAGGCTATTCTTAATGTGGCATCCAAAGCTGAGTGAGCTTTTTAATGTGTTTGACATGCATTTATTGAGTTATATAAGTATTGGTGGACACAATGCTTAGTACTGAGTAGTAAAACATTTCTGCTAGTCCATGCACTGTATGTAGTCAGTTTGAGGGTACTTGCTGTTGGTGAAATGTAAAAAGCAGCATTGGGAATTTACAATCCAGCTGGGTGTGAGAGAAAAAATAAATACAAGATAGAAATAAATATAATTGTTCATTAACAGTATTTTTGAGACTGGTCTTAGAGACCATTTAATTTAGAAAATAATATTATGAAGAGTTCCTTGATATTTCAATATTAGTTCTTCTCCTTTTTCTTTTGCAGCTTGAAGTAAAGATGGGAAGGATAATGACTAACATTTATTGAGCTCTTACTGATTTACATCCTTTATGTTATTCAGTCTCAGCAACAACCCTAGGAGGGATTAACTATTACTAGCTTCATTTATAGATGATGCAACAGAGGCATAGAGAGGTTAATAACGTACTAAACACCACACAGCCACAAGTAAAATTCAGGAAATTCTTTTCTCTCTTTCATTCTATCTCTTTCTCTCTCTTCACCCTACATACTAATATTCAGAATTTTTGTATATGAATAATTCTTACTATAAATGTGGAAGTTGTAGAAAATTGAGAAAATACAGGGAAGTAAGAGAAGAAAAGAAAATCAAATCATATCATCTATCACTTTAAATGTTTGATATTATAAATGGATCATATGGGGTGTGTGTGTGTGTGTGTGTGTGTGTGTGTGTGTGTGTGTGTGTGTAAGGAGAGAGTGAGAGAGATTATATAAGACAATTTTTTTTCCAGAAATGTAGGCCCATTTTGTGCACTTATCAGTGGTTGGTGTATAAGTTATCTTTTATATGAAAGGCATTACTACATTGCATTTTAAAATATTTTGTGACTGTATTTTTCCATTTATAAATTAGAAAATTTATATCAAATTTATCAGTTATATTTTAAATGTGTTTTATATATAAGTTGAATTTTTTATTCTAACCAAGGTTTAAGTTGTTTTATCACATTTTTCCTTATAGTTTCTGTTTTGGTGTTATGTTTAAGAAACATCATTTACATCCTAAGATTATATAAATACATGGTATTTATTCCTCTAACACTTTTTTACCCACAATGAGTCAGCTCTTGCAGACAAATTATGCAAGAGTTTGTCTTTCCCCGACGAACTTCACACTAGGTTTTTTTTTTTTTTTTTTAAGATGAGGTCTCACTATGTTGGGTAGGCTGGTCTTGAACTCCTGGTCTCAAGAGATCCTCCTGACTTGGCCTCCCAAAGTGCTGGGGTTATGCTTGTCTGTTATTACAAGAATAATGAATTATCATAGTTTATAATACTTTTTTGATATCTAAAAGCTCAAATCCTAGCCAGGCTCAGTGGCTCAGTCTGTAATCCTGCGCTTTGGGGGGCTGAGGTGAGTGGATTGCCTGAGCCCGAGGGTTCGAAACCCTCCTGGGCAACTTGGTGAGACCTCATCTCTACAATAAATCAAAATATCAGCCGGGCATGGTAGCGAGTGCCTGTAATTCTGGCTACTCAGAAGGCTGGGACGGAAGGATCGCCGGAGCCCAGCAGGTCGAGGCTGCAGTGGTCAGGAACGACCACTGTACTCCAGTCTGGGTGACAGAGTGAGACTCCAACTCAAAAAAACAAAAAACAAAAAAACAAAAACTCAAATCCTAATAATTTATCTACTGTCTTGACTGTTGTCGTTGGTTTACTTTTTTATCTCAAAGAAGAACATTTTGGGTATGAAGTGTAGCCAACAGGTGTTATCTATTATGAATCTGTTAGTGAGCTCTAATTTGATGATTATCTCTACAAAAAAAATTATACCTCTGTAGTGTTGAATGATTTAAATATTTACTTTAACCTTTTTTTCTAGATCAAGACCCATCATAGTTTGATGCTGGCTGTCATTGACCCAGTGTACCCAAGTCAAGCAAACTAAATAAAAGATGGTTTATGTAGCTTGTATTTTTATGGTCTTAAGTGACTTGACCTACATGTACACTAGGTCTGAATGTACACCTTCCTAGAGGCAAAGATGTCTCATTCTTGAGAGGGCTGATGATGTCTTGGGAATTTTCTAAGATTAGCCCACAAAAATTTAGCACCTTCTGCATTCCCGCCTACAGAAGCAGCTCTCGTTCATGGTTATTTGTAAACAATCAGTGATAATAATAGTTGAAATCTATTGAACAATTACTGTTTACCTGACTATGAGCATTTGCATGAATTTTCTTTTATGACTTTCCCAGTAACCTTATAGTTCAGGAACTTTTACTGTCCTCACTTTATTATAAGTACATCAAGCTTAGTGTGTTTAAACCACTAAGACAAGTTCACAGAGCAAGAGGATAACAGAACAAAAACTCCAAAGTTTGAACCCTTAGCCACGTTGTTATGCTGTTTCCCAGGAAACAAAATATCCTAAAACTGAGACAATAATTAGGGCCAAGAGTAAGATGTACTAGCCTCCTTTTGAAATGTTTTGTGTGTATGAAGACTTCCCTAGGAAAACTTATTTCATAAACATATTGGGCATATCTGCTGTACCCACCTCAATATTGTCAGAAATTATAATATTTTTCTATACTAGTTTAGAAATGTTGTATTAAATACATTTTTTAAAGTTTCAGAAATTATTATAAATAAGCTAAATAATTTTTCTTAAGAGTAAAAGAAGAAATTTTAAAAATAGACTTAGATAACAATCCAGGACAGAATGACAATTTCAAATTTATTTTGGGAGGATGCAATTTCTGCTTTCATGATTTTAAAATGGCAGTTATATAGTAAGGTATTTTAAAGACATCATAATTAATGATGTCTACCTTATTTTAAGGATGTCAGCATTTCTTTTTTTTCAGTTTCTTAAATAACAGTTTCTTTTTTTTTAAGTGAGAAAGTAGGATTTATTGAGAGGACAGAAAAGCCCCCACAGTGGGGGGGGACCTGAAGGGGTTGCCCTGGATCTCAGCATTTCTATGACACTTTTCAAAAATTACCGGTCAAATTTTTAAATGTCTCTTTTGAAATATCAAATTTTAAAATATATTTTTCAATTCTCCCGAGACTCCATGTACCTGAAGCACTGAGGAGGTAGTGTTGACAATTAGAAAAAAAAAACTGGGGTCTTTTCACCAGAAGGACAGTGAAGCATTTCTCCTATTTTTAAAGTGCTCATTGGAGGAAAAATCTGGACACTTGAAAATGGTACTGTTATTATTTCATCTGAGTCAGCAATCATTCTTTGTCTCCTTTTCTGATATTAGGACCACTGAATCAATGACTGGGAAAGGAAATATAACAGAGATCACCTATTTCATCCTGCTGGGATTCTCAGATTTTCCCAGAATCATAACAGTGCTCTTTGTCATATTTTTGGTGATCTATATTATGTCTCTGACCTGTAACCTGGGCCTCATTGTTTTAATAAGGATGGATTCCCACCTCCATACACCCATGTACTTCTTTCTCAGTAACCTGTCCTTCACAGACATCTGCTATGTAAGTTCCACAGTTCCCAAGATGCTCTCCAACTTCTTCCAGGAGCAGCAAACTATTACCCTTGTGGGTTGCATTGTGCAGGACTTCATCTTTTCAATGATGGGACTGAACGAGTCTTGTCTCATGACAGCCATGGCTTACGATCGCTATGTTGCCATTTGTAACCCCCTGCTCTATGCATCCATCATGTCACCTAGGCTTCGTGTTCACATGGTGATGGGAGCCTACATGGCTGGTCTTGCTGCCTCTTTTTCCCAGTTATGTGCTTTGCTTCAGCTCCACTTCTGTGGGCCTCATGTCATCAGCCACTTCTTCTGTGACACGCCCCAATTATTAATCTTGTCCTGCTCTGGCACTTTCTTTGTACAGGTCACTACAGCTGTAATAACAATGATCTTTGGCATAGCAAGTGTTCTAGTTATCATGATATCCTATGGCTATATTGGCATCGCCATCATGAAGATCACTTCAGCTAAAGGCAGGTCCAAGGCATTCAACACCTGTGCTTCTCATTTAACAGCTGTTTCCCTCTTCTATGCATCAAGTATCTTTGTCTATTTGAATTCCAGCTCTGGTGGTTCCTCCAGCTTTGATAGATTTGCATCTGTCTTCTATACTGTGATGATTCCCATGTTGAATCCCTTGATTTACAGTCTGAGGAACAAGGAAATCAAAGGTGCCTTGAAAAGGTTACATAAGAGAAGGTGCTACTGGGGTCACCAATTCTGAAAGATCTGACAGATTCTGCCTGCCAAAATCACCTTACTCCACAATAACAAGAACATTAATCCAATACAACAAAATTCCTACAGCCTACTGCTTTGGGACAACGAAACCTTGATTTGATGCAGGAAATATGCCAATATGGACCAACAGTTGACTCAATGCCACAGATATACTGAATCCTTAAGTCCTCGAGGTTCACCATTTTTAATTTACATCAGAGGTGGCCTCATCATTTTTTAATCTACCCACAAGTATTTGTTAAACAGCAAGACATAGAAATTTTTTGATTCTTTTGGCTTCTGAGATTGAGGACTGCTGAATGTCAAGATTTTGCCCGCAGAGAAGTGATACCGGGCTGAAGCCCCCAGGAACTTAGAAATCTTGTCTTCCAAATATTCTGATGCAGCGTAGTAAAGACATGGTTGTGACTACTGATTATTCTGTTTCTGAAAAAGTGGGAATGGAAAGACAGAGGGGGTATACCATTGGAAGGGCAAAAAGTTATATACCGGCCTCTTGGAAACAGCGATCTGAGATAGCTGAGGTTTGTCTGAGGCCTCTCTCAGTGCTCATCATGTCCTAAGTTTTTGGTAATTTCCTTGCCTTTACCAGCTGTAGCTTAAGGAAGAAGGAGGTGATTTGAATTGAAAGAGGGAAAGAAAGAAATGCATGGTCCCTCCAGTGCCATTTACTTATGAGTCTGGTTATCTAATTTTTTGCATCTAGAGTCCAGTGGGGATTAAAGATAGGAGATGATATTCAAGTTTATATCACAGCCAATAGCAATGTCTGATAATGTGGGACTCAGAACTTTCTTTCTCTTCCTTATTAAATTCAGAAAATATACCCATAGTTGATTTAGCCAATGAGATCACACTGTTAAATTGTTTCTGACAATTTAAGCATTTGTTCAGGTGTCCTATGAGGAGACCTGTAAAAATTAATCGTAATAATAGAAGTACTACATATTCAGTGTTGCAGAGACTAAAAACAAATATGGGATACTGGTTTACATTTTTTTGGGGGGGGCTTGTAGCCTAGAGTTTTATGGTTGTATGGGGGATACAATGAATGGGTAGAATAAGAATTACTTTAATGTCTTTTTGTCCAGGAAGATGGTTGTTTTCAAGACACAGACAAAACATTGTTGGAGAAAAAGGGAAACCCCCATTTGGCTAACTTCATAGGCCAAATCAATCTTGGTAGTAATTTTTCAAGTCAGAAATTCTGCTCAATGGGTAGAATTTGGAGCAGTGAACCTGGTCATCCACTTTGTGTGAAATAAGTGGTCCATGATTAGGATTGCCTGAGCCCAAGCGTTCGAGACCAACCTGGGCAACTTGGCAAGACCTTGTCTCTACAATAAATAAAAAAAATTGCCAGGCATGGTAGTGCGCTCCTGTAGTTCTGGCTACTTGGAAGGCTGAGGCTGAAGGATTACCTGAGTCCAGCAGGCTGATGCTGGAGTGGCCATGAATGTGTCACTGTACTCCAGCCTGGGTGAGAGAGTAAGACTCTGACTCCTTACCCAAAATAAATTAATATAGAAAAGAGCAAAGTATATCCAAAAGATTCTTTCCCTAATAGATATCAATGTAATAAGAAGCCATGTTAGTGACAGCAGCAAGATGGGGAGTAGAAGATCCCAGCACTAATCTCCCCACAGAAAACAATTGGACAGGTATTCATGAATGAAAATAGCTCTGGGAGGGCTCTGGAATCCAGTTAAGAAGCTGCAGCGACACTGGGGAAAAAATGAGTGCTTAGTCAGAACTTCCCAGAGAGGCAGAAAAAATAAGATGTGTCATAAGAGTCTCTGAACTCCCTCAAAATTTTGGCAAGATATTCTGCATGTATACATCTTTTTTTGGTAAAGATAAGCTTTACATCATTTGGATTCACAAGAAGTTCCATGGGATAATCATTGTGAAAGACGCAGTTTTAGACATTTTAGACATTTCTGGATGCATTTCTGTGAGTTATCTACACAGAGAATTGGTTCATGAATTTTGATATTTGTGTGGATGTGGAGTACTCTTTTTCTTTTACACAAAAGTAAGACTAAAGTTTCTCTAAATATGTGATTCTGCAGCTTTTTTTTCAGTAAAGATGGACTTTGCTGTCAGAAAGACATTTTTAATGTTTGCATAGTATCCCTGCTTAATATTATGTACAATAGCTAAGTCATAGGTAATTTAATCAGCCATCAAAACCATGTGTGTGGACACAGATCAAAGGAAGAATCCATTGATATGGAGAATGGAACTGTGTCATGGTAAATTAGGAGGAGCAGAATATGTGAATATGGTAAATTCAGAGGACTTAATAGGTCACCACCTTGTGAAAATAAAAACCCAAAATAAGGACTAGAAAACTGCAGAACGACCATAACTACAGCCAAAACCACAATTTGAGTGGAAAGAGTGATGGGTATAACGAAGGCTGCCCCACACATATGTCCCGGCTTTCAGGACTTCTCCTTACACCAGAGACATTATAATAGAAATCAGTGCACACACACACACACACACACACACACACACACACACAAATAAAAGATGTAAGATAAATTATAATATGAGGCAAGGCCACACGTAGTCTAGTTAAGCCCACCTTTGGTAAAGGTCTGGGGACAAGCTTGGGGGAAAAAATCTGTACCACAGGAAACAGATAAAGGCATGAAATCATAAAGAAAAGCATTGGGTAATATATATTAAAGAGCCACAGTGAACTAAAGCGTTTGACATTATTTCTGGACCTTGGTCACTGATTTTATCCCGGTGACAATAGCTGAGACAGGTGATAAATCATATGGCTACAGTTCTAATCATCCATATCAATGTTTGGGAGTACTCACTAACCCCTGCCCTGTCCATACGACGGTCTGGTGACACAAAGCAATCTGAGAGCTCTTACTATCTCCAGTGAGGGCTGGGTCCATACCCTGTCGCTGATCAACAGTTTCTCTTTTTTTCCCACTACTGTTAACAATACTTTGTTGAATATTCTGCACATAACTTTGTGCAGTTATCTGACTGTTTCTCTAGGATAAATTTCTAGAAGCAGAAAGGTCAAATCAAAAGATATGTATACTTAAGGGTTGGGTACAGGAGTAAAGAAAACCATCTCAGTTTTTACAGCTCTGTACAGTTTGAATTAACTAACTGATTAAATTTAGAAAAAAGTAGTATTTTTAATAGTTTTATTTTATCTAAGTTTTTTTATTTTAAAGATGTGGGGTACAATTCATGGTTAGGTATACAAATGTTCATTATGCAGTTATCCTTATTGATGAGGTGTGCCCCCCTCCTCTCCTGGCGGATCCCCACTACTGCCAATCCTTTTCTTATAGTATTAAAAGAAAAAATGCTACTCCCTTTGGTCAGGTTTGGCTTCTGAACCTACAGGAAATATAAAAACAGGCAGGCTGCAGGTAGCATACTGCCTAAAGGACCAAAGTCTTGATTAGAAAGAAGATAGAGGCATGCAAGAGAGAAATGCATTTAGAAAAAACAAGTCACTGACGCAACTCTTGGCATTGTTTCCCCACTGTCCTGGTCTAGGGAGTTGACAAAAACACCAAATGGTGAGAGTCCCTGGCAAGGCTGCTCCTGTCATGGAAATAGAGGCTTCAGATTCTCTTCACTTGATACCATTAAACTTTCAGACTCTGGGTAGAGATCACATGCTCATGCAGGAAGATTCTGGTTTTATTTTGGCTTCCCAAGTACATCTGCTAACAGGGACCTGCATCATACTTTTCAACAAAGTAAAACTTTTAAAACAAAAACTGGGTATTTGATTATTTTTTAAAATTAGCCTATTAAATTTGGTTTCATGCAAGTTCACACCTTGAAGAAAATATATCCTGACAAAATCAGGTTTTAAGGCCTGCAAATTTGTATGACAGTTTCTAAATCTTCGTCAATTCTCTGGGCATTTCCTTTTGAACCTAATTGTGGAATTCAAGTTTTCTGACTTAAACACAAAGGAACAAGGACTCTCTCTCTCTCACAGGGTCAATGCTCTCTGCCAGCCCTTGTGAGTGTGTCCCCGTGGACCCTTTGAGGTGCACAGCTCTTGGTCCAAGGCAGCCTGCCACTGGGCATGGGGGACAAATATGTTCCTTTTACAATTTGCAACTATGTTGTCCTTTTCCTGACTTAAATATGTCTTTCATCTCACAGTACTTTTTTCAATAAATTAAAATGCTACTGCAATTAAGTCGAAGGATACTTCAGGGAGAAAGAAAACAAAGATAACTAGATGGAGCATGTAATTCCCTCACTCTGTGATCTCTCACTAACTCGTACATGTGTATTTTCACAGTTTTTCTGTGTCCCAAGTTTATATTGTTTTTAGTATTAACATTTATAGGTATGTTTCTGTTATGAGGCTCAAGCAAAATCCATGGAGAATATTGACAAGGTATAAATATACCAAATTAGAAAAACTATATTTCACTGAAAACATGGCAAATCCAAGTGATAAAATGTTCTACGATGCCTTGCAAATGAAATAGACTTTCTCTATAGATATGCTGCAAGTCCAAGACACCCAAAATGATAGTAATGATTGCAAACTCAAATGTTCCCTGGCCAAGCCTGTTGCCCAAATGAATGAAGCGGGACTAATGAAAGCATATATGCACTCACTGTATGAGCAGGGAGAGGTTATGGTTATCTTGACTGGAAAAAGATCCCATCTAAAGGACAACTAGCTCACAGCATATGCTTGTCCTGCAGGAATATTGGGCCCAGGGCTAACAGATCCTTTGAATTTTCAAAAGAAAATATAAATTGAGATTTATGTGACTAAGTGCAGTGTCCTGCTTTTTAAAACAAAAAGCAGGTTGAATAAAACTTGCCTATAGGGTACTTTTTGGCAACATATCAAAAGGAGAAGATTGCTATGAGAACAAGTCCCTAAGGAACCTGGAAAAGGTTGGGGATCAAGACACTGGTAAAAAGTTGGCTTTTAGAGAAGAGACCATTCCTTCCTCT